GCGCCTCGTTGGCTATCTATCATCTCATATCCAACGCGCGCTCGTGGAATAATTGTTAATCACACAATAGTAGCTCCTGAGGAATTAAGTAGGACTTGCGCCCGCGATAACTTATATCTAAGCAATAAATAATACTCTTCATCCGTTTACAGGCTTATAACCGTGCGGAATGTTGGGAGAACACGAGGAAGGAAAGTTTGTAAGCCACGAGGCACAGCCGAATAGTTTGCAAAATTTCTCGGCGAGCAGTTTCGGAAATTCTAGACGAGAATTTCTGAAGTTCTTTAACTTTAACCACGTAGCAAAAACTAAAGCCTTAAAATGGGGCAAAAAGTTATTTAAACTGCAGTTTGAAAAACAAATTTAAGGATGTTGGAAAAATAAACTCCTTGTCGTTACTTTTGGCGTTCAAAGTGCCCTCTTCGTTTCCTCCCAACCAAATTAAAATCTGGGAATTTGCCCCGTGTGATACCATTTAACAGGATGGGAGGTTGTTTCAGTTTTCTATGGGCATACACGCAAATATGCAATGGAGTTTTGACAAATCAGAGCGCACGACGTGTCTAAGTTATCAATAACGCTCTTTCCAAACCCACTTACGTCACCAGTCACTGATATGTTATGTCTGGAAACAACTGTATGTGGCGATACACATGTAAATAATATAACAACATCTCTATCTAGAAAAATAGTAATACAACAGTTCATACCTACAAAATGTTTCTCATAACAGTGATAAATAAAATAGAGGAAATAATTAATTGAGAATCAGTTGATATGAAACTAGCTGCAGTTCCTCATAAAATAACTCAAGAATGAAATTTCCGAGACAAGAGTGTTTTGAGGGCAAATTTCAAAGATAAAGAGACGTATTTTTTAACAGAATCCAGTAGACTGTTCCAATACATGTGCGGAGAAAGAAAAGGCACGTTCACCATATGTCACAAAGTTCACAGTAGAGACAGTGAAAAGTAGTTTAGAGGATGAGCGTAAGCCTCGTTGTGGGTGGTATTGTTGTAGGAGAGACGACAAGTAAGCTGGAAAATTACCATGGATAATCTTGAAAGTGATGAGCAGAACTTTAAATATAATCCGTGACTCAACAGTTAGCCAGTGTAGTTCCCGGACTTAGCGCACATATATCACTGATTTCCGTCTCATATTCGTCCTATGCTTTAACTGATTCTTTTAAAATAATGGTTTTAACCTCGATTCACGTAGGGGGGTCTTATGAAAGCTGAATAGAGTTAGTGAAAGCTGTACCTTTATTTGACTTTTTAAAAAATGGAATGAACCATTTATTGAAGGTGAATTTGAGCAAAAACACAATCCACACAACAACACTTGAAACTCTCAGCGGCCGGTAGTTGAAACAATATTTCGATTAACTTCCTTTTTGCTATTTTTGGACTGTAATCAGATTTCTGACCTCTTGAGAGTTGTTACCAATGCTTTACCATGCGATATAAGAGGAAATTGTATTAACAACGAATTCAGTTAGCTTTGTGTGATCTTGGACAGATTCAGTAAACACAATTGACTGACAACTTTGAAGCTGTTGCCGAAATAGTTTGGCAACTGGATCAGCTGTCTGAGTTTCTTCAACTGCTTAGACTGATATTTTGTGATATAAAATCGAAGGTATGTTATATCCTAAAGAAACATTTTGAACGATTTGCTTGACCAATAACACTTAATTATTTCCGTAATTATTTATTGTTTCTCCCCCTTCCTTTTAAAGTTCATCAGGTGTCTTATCAACACAGGCAAGAACTCTATGGCTAACAGCACCATAAAAATTACTCCTAATACCACAAGTGACGAGGAATGGATGTCATACTCTAAATCCGAGTGTATTCCGTGGCTTGTTCTGCTCATCGTTGAATGTCTGGCCATAGTCATCCTTAATGGCGTCAGTGCTGCTGTACTCTTGAAGAAGCACCAGCTGCAGCGCAGGGGTACATGCTTGATCATCCACCTGGCGATAGTTGATCTTCTAGTGGGAGCAGTGGCTGGACCTGTGTTTATTAACAGGGTAGGAGCTTTCTGTGATCTGTGGGAGGACACAGTCTGGTCTAAGAAGTACTCTTGGATGAATTATTTTACGATAGCATTGGGGCAGTCCCTCCCTAATTTGTCACTTTTAAATCTCGCGGTTATTTCATTAGAGCGGGTGCATGCAACCTTTTTTCCTTTCAAGTATCATGTCGTTAAGAAATGGGTCTATGGAGTTATAGTTGGTGTAACTTGGTTAATATCTGTGACCGCTGCTATACTGGGGAAAGATATAGGCACAAAAGGCCGCCACATTATGTATTTTTCGTTTTTTGCAGTTCTTCTTTTTGTAATTTCTGTTTCTTACATCTCAATTTTTGTCAAAGTCCGTTTCTGTCATCGTCTCCCAAATCACGGCTCATCAAGTGTAATGGATCGAAAATTAACGAATACGTTGTTTATGGTGACTCTTGCATCCATATTTACTTGGCTTCCATTGATAATTGGACGAAGCTTAAGCAGTTTGAACCCCCAGTTACTTAAAAACCTTAACCGGATAAAAATTGCTGATAATCTAATAAAGTTCTCAGCGCGACGGGTGTCTTGGTTAAACATAAAATTTTTATGCTAATTGCAAGAAAGTTTTGACTTTTAAAAAGGTGGATCGGAAGTCTTTCCTTGAGAGTTTAAGAATTAAAATAACGTATTAAGGGGGCTAAAGGGTTATTTTGTCATTTATTTGGTAAGAATTCGAACATAATGTAATGTGCATTAAGAGAGAAATAGTCATAACTCCCAAGTTTTTGTTATCTAAGTCCAACAGAAATTCTGAATATATTGTGCTAGTTGTGCAGACGAGTGTTTTGCCACGAGTCGATATTTTTCGAATAGTCCACTTGACTTGAAACTTAATTAAATTCAGCATACAGAATAAATAAAATTTTGTGTTTTGCATCGGAAGACTCTCGAATTTGTGTATTTTTAAAACTATAATACAGAAGCCAAACAATGTATCTCCGCTTGCTGAAGGCACATAAGCCCGAGTACCCGGCGTATTTTCCGCCGGCAAGTGCTTGATATTCCGATCAATTATCGGAAGCTCTCATACTGTTTTGGATTTTGGTGCCACTTGCCTTAAATTTTACCGCACTCAAGCGCATTTACCTGATTTTTCTACAAGGAAAAGTTTTGTTTTATTTTGTTTTTCACGCGTCAGCGATAGGCGATGATAAAGTGATTTTGGATGTCAGCGTCACGGAAACCACTGAGAAAATTATATCTTAGATTGTGTTGGAGTGTTTAAGTTATTTATTCAAGAATGTCTTTGAACAGGGCAAAGACTAACCATTGTGACAAGTAACCATTTAATTTTATATGCAATACCGTTTAAACACAAGGTCAACTGAGATCTCTTGAAGCAAAGGAATGGATGTGTTTCATGGTATACATGGTAGTGGAGGCGATTTGAAATATAGCTTCTGATATTTTCAACCTTCGCCAAAACAGCAATCACAAGGCAAAAGCAAGATTATCGATCAAACATGCTTATTGAAAATGCTCTGGGAATTGTTATCCTTAAGCCACTAAACTAGCCCTGAGCACTACATCGCTCGGTACGCTAAAAAAAGTGTTTTTACATCATAAATTAATAAATCTCTTCTTTCCCCTGCTGTTTACAAATTGCTGTCTTCTCTGTTGAAACCTTGACATCTTAACATCACACTGCGAATTCTATTTACTGTTCTCCGCTCATCTCATATGGTGCTGACTGAGAACGTATTGATCAATCAGGAGCACTTTAAGTTGTGGATCATTTCCTGCTAGTAACTCTTAGGGTTTATAGAATTGAATTTCAATAACATGAGGACATGAACTGTTACACTGGTTATATGAGCCCGCATGACATACCACAACGTGATTGGCAAGTGGGAAACTCCCTAACTCTCTGATAGGTGTGCAAGCATACCCTGATGCTGTGATCTGAGTGGTGCGAGATACATACCCCAGTGAATTCTAAGGGATCTGATTGGTGCGAGATACATACCCTAATGCTGAGATCTCATTGGTACGAGCATACCCTGTTGCAGTGATCTGATTGGAGTGAGATACGTACCCTAATGCTGTGATATGATTAGTGCAAGCAGTATACTACTCATGACGCTAACATATAGGTATTTTTTTAGAACTAATCAATCGATCATTGAGTTATCGATTCTCCACACAATATTTGGTGTTTGCATGGAGAATTCTCGATAAATTTAGTATCAAGTGTTGCCCATTAAATTATCTTCAGTTTACTTAGTGATAACCTTGTGATGTCATTGGACTTGGATGAGTCACGTCTGGGATGAAATGTGGAAATGAATACAATCTCTTCATAGGTAATATTCATATCCAACCCGGAACACAAGATTGCTTTCATCAAATTTCGCACGGGGAATCATTATTGACAAATGAAAACGGACGATACCAAAGATTGTAACACCTAATTATCCGTTCTTCTGTCATGAAAACGAAATTGAGTAAAAACACATTCCTCACAACAGCTCTTGAACTCTCCAAGGAAATGTGGCGCAAACAGTAAACAACAGTCGGTAGATCAACCAATATTGGATTAATCAAATAACTTCCTTTTTGCTATTTTTGGATTGTATTTAGATTTCTGCCCTCTTGAGTGTTGTTACTGAAGTTAGCCTCCTTGACCGCCTGCATCAACAACGTATCGTATCTTTTCTTAAGCGTACAAAATGATCGACTTGTTGTTGTATTTAAAGAAATTTGAATATTGGGAGTTGATTTTTTATCTCCGGTGAGAGGTAAGAAGAAACTGTTTTAATGAAGTACAATTACGCACGAGTCCTTACTGACGGCTGGCAGTAAAAGTCAACAGCACAGGGACGAACACGAGCAAGGAATTAGTGCTTCCAGCATCACAGTGCATCCCGTGGNAATACAGATGACATTTGCACCCACTGCCCACGTCAATTAAGGTGCTCAAATCCCTATTTCTAATGTATTTTTTAAAAGTCTTCAAACTAACTGATTTACAATTATTGGGTATCCTGGCCCATAACTTTGGACCTAAATACTTCACTGAATGTTTTCCATACGTTACTGTGATGAATCTCGGCAAAATAAAATCAGCGTTTCTGAGATCATGGTTACTTTGTTGTCTTTTAAAAAGATTGGTAATATATTGTGGGCATAGGTTATTCTTAACCTTATACATTAAAATGGCAATATCTTGGAGTCTTCGATTGAACAGTGTCGGGAGACCAGCAGCAGCCAGCAGTTCTTCATAACTTGGCACTTTGTCACGGTAGATAGCTCTAAGAGCCTTATCTTGGATCCTCTCTAGCCTACGTGTATCAGAAGCTTTCAGAAAATGCCTTACAACGGAACAGTAAGTTAAATGTGGTAAAATTGCCATTCGATATAGCTGGAAGTTTGACTTTCTCTGGAATGAGAGTTCTTAGCCGCATTATAACCCACAAGTCTCTCTGCTTTGACCGCAATTGATTTACCATGTTTAGTAAATTCAATTTATCGTCGATTATTCGAATTTTCAACCCGTTATACTTCCACAGATGCCGGAAATGACCCGAAAATGCAATTTAGAAGCGAGTGACCTTTGCAAAGGATTTTCCTTTCCGTAGAATGAGATTTAATGATCCAAGTCAAAGATGAGAGCAGTAAGCAAAGGCAGTCATGAATATATCTTTTGCCATTTCCTTTATTTCGCCGAAAGCCATTGCTTTTGCCAAATAATGTAAAGACAGTTACGATCTTTCCCAACTGCCAAGCGATAAGAAGTCCAATTTAGATTGTCTCAAACTATTCATTCGTCATTTCTATCCTTATTTTCCTACTGTACGCCTCGATTTCTGAATTGCAATTAGCGGAGAAAGCGAGAAAATTACCATGAAGTAATAACAAAGGGTTTTGAGTTGTGTTTACGAATTTCAATTGATATTATTTCCAGGAGCTGACTGTCCAGATCTGTGCGGACAAGATAGCTTATGTTTGAACGAATGTAAAAACATACGCCACCACCTAACCTACCATTTGTTGACCTGTCACGACGTATTATATCATAACCCTGGACTTTAACCTCCCGATAGAAAATACTTTCATTTAGCCTGGTCTCATTTATGGCTAGAACGTCGATGTTTTGATCATTTAGAAAAACACGAAGTTCATCATTATGTTCAAACTAGCCATTTTGAATCCACGACATGTTGGCATTAGAGTTGACCTGAACCGGGCACCAGAGGTGGTAGTGAGGTCAGGTGTCGACACAGTTGTCAAGTAAGAATCGTATCAATGAAGTACATTTTTACAAAATTACTCGCTAAAATAGCAATACCTTCTTGTTGAGATGGAGTTTATGATTGTTCAGACATGTTTCGTCGATGTTCAAGTGTTCGACAAAGCCTCAGCCATTCTGATTGCAAAATGTTTTTAAAACTTTGTTGCAGTCCTTTACTTTCTTCGTGAGCGATTCTTCGTCTAATCTTTGTGTGATTGCGGAGATGGTTACAGTAGTGTTGGGAGAGTTTGTAGCAATCATATTCCCCAGATCGACGATTTTCTCTCCCACATCCCGCGCAGTTGATGAATTTTTCAGACCATTTGTTCCGACATGGAGGATTATCGCCTTCGGTTTTGTAGCCAAGCTTGGTTGTAGATAATGCTCCATGTCTGCGGTTGTAGCAACAGGGAAACTTCTCATGGTTACGCGCCGTTTAGCCGCCCGACTTAATAAGTCCTTGCGTAATCCTTTGACAATCGAATCTTCAACAATAATTTTATCTTCATTAGGTCTTTGCTCCCTTCGGCCGTTCCCACTAGTATTGTTTTTTTCCATTTGTAGTTGCTGGTTCTGGGAACTGACTTTCCCTTTCTTTTTCTTCTTCCCTCGTGACTTGTTTGAGGTAACGGGTCGCCAGTCATCAGAGGCTGGTTGTGATCGCGTGAACCTACCGATTGATCCGAAGAGAGAACTTTAATAGATTCCATCAGACTTACTCTTTCTTGTTGAAGTTCTTGGATCTTTACTTTGTGCTCGGCGCATTTCAATTTAGTATATACACACTCAGTGATCTTGGCGCTTCAAGCAATCTGATTGGTTAGCTATCTCGGGCTAATTAACAATTATTCCACGAGCGTGCGTTGGATATGAGATGATAAGATAGCCAACGAGGCGCTACGAGCCTCGTTGGCTATAATCATCTCATACCCAACAAACACGAGTGGAATAATTGTTTTATTAAAAACGTTAAATTAAATTATTCAATTTCATTCAATTTTTTAGCTCCCTTTTAATTTTAAACTGACGCGTGCGCTAACCATATTTGTAGATTATGGTATATTGGCTCATATACCATAATGGCTAAGCCAATAAAAAGTCTTGAACCGCATTATCCAATGATCCAGTTTTTAATAATCAACAATGTACACCTCCGAGCGAGTGGATAATGTGAAAAACAAAATAGCGGACGTAAACTCGCAGAAATTGCTTTTAAATGGCTTCCTTTTAATTTTGTTCAGATCACTTCGTGTGTATCTACTAAAACAATAATTCCTTTCAATCTCGGGGGATAGTGGCTCTCGGGAATATTTAGCCAGTATTCTCCTAGATTTCAAAGAATAATTGTTAATTGTATTCATCAATTTTACGTTGCAACGCATCCACTTGGGACAGATTCGCGGAAAATTCAAATTTTCGTTGAATGGCGTTTAT